CTAACTAAATCATTGTGAACTTTTGGTGCTAGCGAATTGATATGAGTGGCTATATGAGCACCCGCCTCACGAAAGAGAAATTTCGATAGTTCATCACCTTGTTCGGCGGCATGAGAGAGTTTCTTGCATAGACTGGCATAGAAGGGTTTATCGAATTTGGCATAACAGTGTGGCAGCAAATCGAGGCGTGTTTGTATATTGAAGTGTTCCTGTATAAGTTTCCAAACAGTTTCGACGGGAAATGGCGCTTTGGAGAAATTATCCATGTCATCGAAGACCAGCTTCATGGCACGATGGGAAATATACCAGGCTGTAAGAATGAAATTTATTTTGATTATGTTTAAAAAGTAAAATTTATGATTAATTTTTTAAAATATTGTTAATGTTAGTTTAAATATTATTCCATGGTCAAGTTCTAGGAAGCAAACACTGACTGAAAACTTACCACTACCCTCATCTCCCAAGAAATGACCCCAACCACCGCAGCTAAATGAAGTTCCATCGGGATTTTTCAATAAGGCATTTGAGCCGGTACCCGATATCAGTACCATACCACCACTGGGAGAAGCAGTAAAAATACTGCCCATAGTATCGCTGCAGACATAATAATGATCGGCTATATCGGGGAAAGAAGTGCGTAATTCCATTTCCAATTCATAGTTGGTGGCTTCCTTTTGTGGATGTGATTAAAAATTATTATTATTATTTTTATAACACTTATTTACAACTAAAAAGTGTTAACTCAAAACTTAACAAAACAGATAAGAGCCACTTAACGCAAAAGAGCGAAAAGTTACAATTAATATGCCTGTATCTGACCTTGTCTCATTTAAATAAATGTAACACACTTTTAAATATTTTATTAATAATTGTTTGTTATTTTATGTTAATTATTTATTTGTGTTTTTCTTACCTGTTCACAGCCGCTTAAACTTAAGCCCAAACTTGTTAAACGTGTCTCTTGCGGTATATTTGCATCGGTTTTCGCACGCTCAATCATATCGGCAATACGTCGGGCACATTCGGCAATGCCAACCATCCAGTGGTTGGTACCCAGTCCAGTTGTTGTAACAACACACTCACCATCCTCCGAACAGATGATTAAACGCGAATGTGTAGCACCACTATGTTTGTAATAAAAGGTTTCAAATTTAAAGATTGTTTTTTTATACCCTACACCACTTTAGTGGAGAGGGTATATTGGGTTTGTGGTGATGTTTGTAACGCACAATAATATTGGTCCTATACCCACCTTAAAGTATACCAATCGGCTCAGAATAATTTTCTGAGTCGATTTAGCTATGTCCGTCCGTCTGTCCGTCCGTCCATGTAAACCTTGTAATCAAACTACAGGTCGCAATTTTGAAGATAATTCAATGAAATTTGGTACATGATCTTCTATTGTCCCAGGGACGAAGCCTATTGAAAATGGTTAAGATCGGTCCATTATTTCACTTAGCCCCCATACAACTGAACCCCTCGTATAGGGCTTTTAAAACTTCTAATCAAACTACAGGTCGCAATTTTGGAGATAATTCAATGAAATTTGGCACATGATCTTTTATGGAAGCCTGTTGAAAATGGTTAACATCGGTCCATTATTTCACCTAGCCCCCATACAACTGAACCCCTCGTATAGGGCTTTTAAAACTTCTAATCAAACTACAGGTCGCAATTTTGGAGATAATTCAATGAAATTTTGCACATGATCTTTTATGGTATCGTAGACGAAGCCTACTGAAAATGGTTAACATCGGTCCATTATTTCACCTAGCCCCCATACAACTGAACCCCCGAATAGGGCTTTTAAAACTTGTAATCAAACTACAGGTCGCAATTTTGAAGATAATTCAATGAAATTTGGCACATGATCTTTTATGGTACCGTAGACGAAGCCATTCCATTATTTCACCTAGCCCCCATACAACTGAACCCGCCGAATAGGGCTTTTAAGTTCATAATTATGTTTAATATACTCATATCTCGACAAAACCAAGTTGTATACAAGACTTGATGACCCCCACGAATTCCATAACAATAGGTTCTCATATGACCCTAGCCCCTATGAAAAGCCCCCATCAAAATTTCACTTAAATGTCCACAATTTTATTCAACAATAAACGGCTTAAGTATGTATATCTAAGGCAAGGTACAATTCAACTTAAATGCTTTATTATGGCAACTAAATAACATTATATTTTTGTCAAAGGTGTAGGGTATAATATGGTCGGCCTCGCCCGACTATAATTTCTTACTTGTTTTATTTTAGTATTGAATTGGAAATAGCAAATGATGTGCTAAAGAGTTAGTGTAAATTTAGTAGGGAGGGATGGATTAATAATGATATCTTGTAAAATAAAAGTGAGCAGAGATAAGTTATAAAAATGTCTTTGCAGGCTCTAGAAACAACAAAAGGATTCACAAAAACACAGTTTTAGTTTTATTTGAGACCAATTTTTATTGAGACCAATATTTCGAACCTAAAAATACTCATGTTAAAAACCATATATAAATGTATAAATATTTTATAAATACTGCGATAAGAATAAAAGATTCAGCTATTTAGGACACAGATGAGAAAGTTCAAAAAGATAGAGGATATATCGGATTTTTCCACAATATCTAGCGCGGAATACGAAGAATAAACCCAAAAAAAGATTTTGTGAAGACGTGCGCCTGAAATCAACCCCGAATCTAAGGGTCTCTCAAAAGAAGTCCTTACAACGCGTAAGAATAAGATTTCTCTGTAATATCTGGTAATCCGATTGGAAAAATCCCTAGATCAGCACTATAAGGTAAGAGATTGTGAATCACACAATCGCTTCTAACCGATAGAATCCTAGTACTTGTCTGATTACCGGTCGCACTGTTTCCAGATAGAATATGCATGCAACCGTTGTACAGAGGGGCAGAATCAATCTTTTCAAAATATATACAACAAATTCATCAAAATATTTTTATTTTTACAATAAACAAATCTCGTGAGAAGTAATTCATATGTTAGTTATTGATTTTTTTTAATCATTTCAATAAATTCCCCAATAAAATAATAAAAAAAACATTTGTAATCAATTGATAATGAAAGATATTGTAATATGTATAATTTACGATCACAAACAATAATGAACGGAAAATATAATAAATTTAAAAAAGATTCTATTGTAATCTATTAAACGATTTTGCAATTCTATTACAATGTTAAGATTAAATAAAAAAACAAATAACATTTAAAGAAAAGAAAATTGAACAAATGAAAACTATTGTGACCTTATAAAATTAGTTGATCTTATGAACTAAAGTTAAATATTTCAGTTTAATGTGCTTAGATTGACATTTATTAAATTTAATGTTGTAAATATGTTTAATAATTTTTTTATTTAATAAATAAAATAAAAAAAAATAATAAATATGAAAGTTCCATTAAAGTCAGACATTGAATGATATTCCGACTTTTTTCTTGCAGTTCTAGTTCAGTTCTACTTCAGTTCTAGTTCAGTTCTAGTTCAGTTCTAGTTCAGTTCTAGTTCAGTTCTAGTTCAGTTCGAGTTCAGTTCTAGTTCAGTTCTAGTTCAGTTCTAGTTCAGTTTTAGTTCAGTTCTAGTTCACTTCTAGTTCACTTCTAGTTCAGTTCTAGTTCAGTTATAGTTCAGTTCAAGTTCAGTTCAAGTTCAGTTCTAGTTCAGTTCTAGTTCAGTTCTAGTTCAGTTCTAGTTCAGTTCTAGTTCAGTTCTAGTTCAGTTCTAGTTCAGTTCTAGTTCAGTTCTAGTTCAGTTCTTGTTCAGTTCTAGTTCAGTTCTAGTTCAGTTCTAGTTCAGTTCTAGTTCAGTTCTAGTTCAGTTCTAGTTCAGATCTAGTTCAGATCTAGTTCAGATCTAGTTCAGTTCTAGTTCAGTTCTAGTTCCGTTCTAGTTCCGTTCTAGTTCAGTTCTAGTTCTGTTCTAGTTCAGTTCTAGTTCAGATCTAGTTCAGATCTAGTTCAGATCTAGTTCAGTTCTAGTTCAGTTCTAGTTCCGTTCTAGTTCAGTTCTAGTTCAGTTCTAGTTCTGTTCTAGTTCAGTTCTAGTTCAGTTCTAGTTCAGTTCTAGTTCTAGTTCAGTTCTAGTTCAGTTCTAGTTCAGTTCTAGTTCCGTTCTAGTTCCGTTCTAGTTCTGTTCTAGTTCAGTTCTAGTTCAGATCTAGTTCAGATCTAGTTCAGATCTAGTTCAGATCTAGTTCAGTTCTAGTTCAGTTCTAGTTCCGTTCTAGTTCAGTTCTAGTTCAGTTCTAGTTCAGTTCTAGTTCAGATCTAGTTCAGATCTAGTTCAGATCTAGTTCAGTTCTAGTTCCGTTCTAGTTCAGTTCTAGTTCTGTTCTAGTTCAGTTCTAGTTCTGTTCTAGTTTAGTTCTAGTTCAGTTCTAGTTCAGTTCTAGTTCCGTTCTAGTTCCGTTCTAGTTCCGTTCTAGTTCCGTTCTAGTTCAGTTCTAGTTCAGTTCTAGTTCAGTTCTAGTTCAGATCTAGTTCAGTTCTAGTTCAGTTCTAGTTCAGTTCTAGTTCAGTTCTAGTTCAGTTCTAGTTCTGTTCTAGTTTAGTTCTAGTTCAGTTCTAGTTCAGTTCTAGTTCCGTTCTAGTTCCGTTCTAGTTCAGTTCTAGTTCCGTTCTAGTTCCGTTCTAGTTCAGTTCTAGTTCAGATCTAGTTCAGTTCTAGTTCAGTTCTAGTTCAGTTCTTGTTCAGTTCTAGTTCAGTTCTAGTTCAGTTCTAGTTCAGTTCTAGTTCAGTTCTAGTTCAGTTCTAGTTCAGTTCTAGTTCAGATCTAGTTCAGATCTAGTTCAGATCTAGTTCAGTTCTAGTTCAGTTCTAGTTCCGTTCTAGTTCAGTTCTAGTTCTGTTCTAGTTTAGTTCTAGTTCAGTTCTAGTTCAGTTCTAGTTCCGTTCTAGTTCCGTTCTAGTTCCGTTCTAGTTCCGTTCTAGTTCCGTTCTAGTTCAGTTCTAGTTCAGTTCTAGTTCTGTTCTAGTTTAGTTCTAGTTCAGTTCTAGTTCAGTTCTAATTCAGTTCTAGTTCCGTTCTAGTTCCGTTCTAGTTCAGTTCTAGTTCAGATCTAGTTCAGTTCTAGTTCAGTTCTAGTTCAGTTCTAGTTCAGATCTAGTTCAGTTCTAGTTCAGTTCTAGTTCAGTTCTAATTCAGTTCTAGTTCCGTTCTAGTTCCGTTCTAGTTCCGTTCTAGTTCAGTTCTAGTTCAGTTCTGGTTCAGATCTAGTTCAGTTCTAGTTCCGTTCTAGTTCGGTTCTAGTTCAGTTCTAGTTCAGTTCTAGTTCAGTTCTAGTTCAGTTCTAGTTCAGTTCTAGTTCAGTTCTAGTTCAGTTCTAGTTCAGTTCTAGTTCAGTTCTAGTTCAGTTCTAGTTCAGTTCTAGTTCAGTTCTAGTTCAGTTCTAGTTCAGTTCTAGTTCAGTTCTAGTTCAGTTCTAGTTCAGTTCTAGTTCAGTTCTAGTTCAGTTCTAGTTCAGTTCTAGTTCAGTTCTAGTTCAGTTCTAGTTCAGTTCTAGTTCAGTTCTAGTTCAGTTCTAGTTGAGTTCTAGTTCAGTTCTAGTTCAGTTCCAGTTCAGTTCTAGATCAGTTCTAGTTCAGTTCTAGTTCAGTTCTAGTTCAGTTCTAGTTCAGTTCTAGTTCAGTTCTAGTTCAGTTCTAGTTCAGTTCTAGTTCTGTTCTAGTTTAGTTCTAGTTCAGATCTAGTTCAGTTCTAGTTCAGTTCTAGTTCTGTTCTAGTTCAGTTCTAGTTCAGTTCTAGTTCAGTTCTAGTTCAGTTCTAGTTCAGTTCTAGTTCAGTTCTAGTTCCGTTCTAGTTCAGTTCTAGTTCTGTTCTAGTTCAGTTCTAGTTCAGTTCTAGTTCAGATCTAGTTCAGATCTAGTTCAGATCTAGTTCAGTTCTAGTTCAGTTCTAGTTCAGTTCTAGTTCAGTTCTAGTTCAGTTCTAGGTCAGTTCTACTTCAGTTCTAGTTCAGTTCTAGTTCAGTTCTAGTTCAGTTCTAGTTCAGTTCTAGTTCAGTTCAGTTCTAGTTCAGTTCTAGTTCAGTTCTAGTTCAGTTCTAGTTCAGTTCTAGTTCAGTTCTAGTTCCGTTCTAGTTCAGTTCTAGTTCTGTTCTAGTTTAGTTCTAGTTCAGTTCTAGTTCAGTTCTAGTTCCGTTCCAGTTCCGTTCTAGTTCCGTTCTAGTTCCGTTCTAGTTCCGTTCTAATTCAGTTCTAGTTCTGTTCTTGTTTAGTTCTAATTCAGTTCTAGTTCTGTTCTTAAGTTCTAGTTCTGTTCTTAAGTTCTAGTTCAGTTCTAGTTCTAGTTTAGTTTAGTTCTAGTTCCGTTCTAGTTCGGTTCTAGTTCTGTTCTAGTTTAGTTCTAGTTCAGTTCTAGTTCAGTTCTAGTTCCGTTCCAGTTCCGTTCTAGTTCCGTTCTAGTTCCGTTCTAATTCAGTTCTAGTTCTGTTCTTGTTTAGTTCTAATTCAGTTCTAGTTCTGTTCTTAAGTTCTAGTTCTGTTCTTAAGTTCTAGTTCAGTTCTAGTTCAGTTCTAGTTCAGTTCTAGTTCAGTTCTAGTTCAGTTCTAGTTCAGTTCTAGTTCAGTTCTAGTTCAGTTCTAGTTCAGTTCAGTTCTAGTTCAGTTCTAGTTCAGTTCTAGTTCAGTTCTAGTTCAGTTCTAGTTCAGTTCTAGTTCAGTTCTAGTTCAGTTCTAGTTCAGTTCTAGTTCAGTTCTAGTTCAGTTCTAGTTCAGTTCTAGTTCAGTTCTAGTTCAGTTCTAGTTCAGTTCTAGTTCAGTTCTAGTTCAGTTCCAGTTCAGTTCTAGATCAGTTCTAGTTCAGTTCTAGTTCAGTTCTAGTTCAGTTCTAGTTCAGTTCTAGTTCAGTTCTAGTTCAGTTCTAGTTCAGTTCTAGTTCAGTTCTAGTTCAGTTCTAGTTCAGTTCTAGTTCAGTTCTAGTTCAGTTCTAGTTCAGTTCTAGTTCAGTTCTAGTTCAGTTCTAGTTCAGTTCTAGTTCAGTTCTAGTTCAGTTCTAGTTCAGTTCTAGTTCAGTTCTAGTTCTGTTCTTAAGTTCTAGTTCTGTTCTAGTTTAGTTCTAGTTTAGTTCTAGTTTAGTTCTAGTTTAGTTCTAGTTCCGTTCTAGTTCAGTTCTAGTTCAGTTCTTAAGTTCTAGTTCTAGTTCAGTTCTAGTTCAGATCTAGTTCAGTTCTAGTTCAGTTCTAGTTCAGTTCTAGTTCAGTTCTAGTTCAGTTCTAGTTCAGTTCTAGTTCAGTTCTAGTTCAGTTCTAGTTCAGTTCTAGTTCAGTTCTAGTTCAGTTCTAGTTCAGTTCTAGTTCAGTTCTAGTTCAGTTCTAGTTCAGCTCTAGTTCAGTTCTAGTTCAGTTCTAGTTCAGTTCTAGTTCAGTTCTAGTTCAGTTCTAGTTCAGTTCTAGTTCAGTTCTAGTTCAGTTCTAGTTCTAGTTCAGTTCTAGTTCAGTTCTAGTTCAGTTCTAGTTCAGTTCTAGTTCAGTTCTAGTTCAGTTCTAGTTCAGTTCTAGTTCAGTTCTAGTTCAGTTCTAGTTCAGTTCTAGTTCAGTTCTAGTTCAGTTCTAGTTCAGTTCTAGTTCAGTTCTAGTTCAGTTCTAGTTCAGTTCTAGTTCAGTTCTAGTTCCGTTCTAGTTCTGTTCTAGTTCTGTTCTAGTTTAGTTCTAGTTCAGTTCTAGTTCAGTTCTAGTTCCGTTCCAGTTCCGTTCTAGTTCCGTTCTAGTTCCGTTCTAATTCAGTTCTAGTTCTGTTCTTGTTTAGTTCTAATTCAGTTCTAGTTCTGTTCTTAAGTTCTAGTTCTGTTCTTAAGTTCTAGTTCAGTTCTAGTTCTGTTCTAGTTTAGTTTAGTTCTAGTTCCGTTCTAGTTCGGTTCTAGTTCTGTTCTAGTTTAGTTCTAGTTCAGTTCTAGTTCAGTTCTAGTTCAGTTCTAGTTCAGTTCTAGTTCAGTTCTAGTTCAGTTCTAGTTCAGTTCTAGTTCAGTTCTAGTTCAGTTCTAGTTCAGTTCTAGTTCAGTTCTAGTTCAGTTCTAGTTCAGTTCTAGTTCAGTTCTAGTTCAGTTCTAGTTCAGTTCTAGTTCAGTTCTAGTTCAGTTCTAGTTCAGTTCTAGTTCAGTTCTAGTTCAGTTCTAGTTCAGTTCTAGTTCAGTTCTAGTTCAGTTCAGTTCTAGTTCAGTTCTAGTTCAGTTCTAGTTCAGTTCTAGTTCAGTTCTAGTTCAGTTCTAGTTCAGTTCTAGTTCAGTTCTAGTTCAGTTCTAGTTCAGTTCTAGTTCAGTTCTAGTTCAGTTCTAGTTCAGTTCTAGTTCAGTTCTAGTTCTGTTCGTTCTAGTTTAGTTCTAGTTTAGTTCTAGTTTAGTTCTAGTTCCGTTCTAGTTCCGTTCTAGTTCAGTTCTAGTTCAGTTCTTAAGTTCTAGTTCTAGTTCAGTTCTAGTTCAGATCTAGTTCAGTTCTAGTTCAGTTCTAGTTCAGTTCTAGTTCAGTTCTAGTTCAGTTCTAGTGCAGTTCTAGTTCAGTTCTAGTTCAGTTTTAGTTCAGTTCTAGTTCAGTTCTAGTTCAGTTCTAGTTCAGTTCTAGTTCAGTTCTAGTTCAGTTCTAGTTCAGTTCTAGTTCAGTTCTAGTTCAGTTCTAGTTCAGTCAGTTCTAGTTCAGTTCTAGTTCAGCTCTAGTTCAGTTCTAGTTCTATATAATTTCTGGCTATTTTTTAGATAATTTCTGACTAATGTTAGGATAATTTCTCATTAATTTAAAAAGTTGTAGATAGTTCTAGTTTATGTACCCAGCAAAAAAGTGTCACCCGACTGGTGACTGTGTTTTCATTTGTAAGGATATGTTTGGTTTATAAAAGCGAAAAGTATGTAATCGCATTTTTAGATGTGATTAAGATGTCGTTTGTAAAGTATGACATCAATTATTTTTTGCTGGGCGTAGTTTATTTTTATTTCAATTCTGGATCATTCTTTAATAATTACTAGTTCATTACCATATTAGTTCTTGATCTGATAGCTGTATCTCTGCTACCTATAACACTTTTAAATTCAAATTGAAAAAGGATATTATTTTCCAAATATATTTTCTTTCAATAAACATACTTTAAATTTATTACTTTATGCATATTTTTGCTCAAATGTAGAGTATGATAAGAGGTCTTTTTAATTTTCATAAAAAATATTTATTTTTTTATTAATTGATTGAAATCAGTGCTTACATATATTGATTGCTCAATAAAAGAAAAGCACAAAGTTAATTTAAAGTCAATAAACTTTTTTGAGGAAGAATGAAAAGAAATTTAATTAATAACAATTTAAAATAAATTAATTGAATTTTTGTGATTTATGTATTTAGGTAACTACACTTTTATAAGAGAAATAAAAATGTGTTTAAATAAATTGACAAAATAAAAGAGGGCTCGTGTTATTTATGGGTGTGTATGTCATGGGCGTTTATATGATCAATTGGAAAATTATTTAATATGAATGAATTGATGTATTTAGGTTTAAATTGTTCAAATAGGTACTTACCCCTCAATTCCGCCAAAATATTTCATTTTTATATACAAATTTGAACTATTTTTCTTTTAAAATTAACAGAAATACTTTAGAAGTAATTTGATACTAGGAACTCATAACCTGAAACGATATAAAATTATAGAAAACTTTCTTAATAAAATGTTATTGTTTATCATATGTCATAATTTTACTTATTACAAACAATATTAAAATAAATGCAACTTAAAAGAAAATTTTTGCTTATTAAAAAAAAATTTATTGAAATTACCAAACTTTGGACTTGATATCACATGTATTGTAAATGTAGTATTTTAAACATGCAAAATATGAATGACAGTACAAAATTAAGGCAGAAAATGTACGTGATTTTTATCAAAAGTGAAATACATATACGGACTTATTGCTAGGACTTTTAAAAACCTAATCGAACCTTATGTATCGAATAATACTGCATACTAATTCTAATTCTTTGGTAACGTTACAAAAAAATTTAAATATAATTTATTTTTGTTTAACTATTTCTTGAAAATCTTTTATTACATATTATGTATTTGAAAACACAACTAATAATACAATAATTTAAGGCTGGTAAAATCGCCAACAAAAAAATTGGTTAACCTGTTAAAATAATACTTTCGTTTTCAATAAACCCCAAAAACAACAAAGCAATTATAACAAATATTATAAACAAAACCCGTTTTATTGCAAGAAATTAAAGACATAATAGAAAAACGCAAATAAATTAAAGTCTATTTTAGCTGGCTCTAGACACAACAGGCAATTAAATAAAACAACAAAATAACGGTAAGTAACATTATTTGATAGTGACGTTGCAATGTTATTGTTATTATTTTAATTGTCAATAAACAATGCATCATTTTCTAGGGGTTTGAAAATTGCTGTTTCTTTGTGGTTAACAGAATGTCAGAGAATGCACTCATGCTGTAGTTTAGAAACTAAATAGAGTTTTATTTACATACATACATAGTACATACATATGCATACATAAGTATTACTTGATTATTGTATTTTTTTTTTTTATTTTGTCAATTGTCATCGTTTTTGTTTGCGTACTTGCTATTGTATGTATTTACATATTTGTATTGCTTATTTACAAACATGCCGGGAGAGTAAAAGAGCGAAATAACTAAACAATTGCAGTATGTAAATATGAATGAATAGCTGGTTAGAAAAATTTATTAATTGTAATTTAATCTGTTGGTTTTATGGTTTATACTTAAAAATCTTACAAATACAATCGTGTGAATAAATTTCTTTAAATTAAAATAGATTGACTAACTAGCAAAATAAGCAAAACCCATTATTAGAAAATATTTTAATAAAACAAGTTACTCAAGTTCTTTAATTTTTTGGATAGTGGAGAAAGAATTAAAAAGTGCAATTTTTTGACTGGACGTTTAAGAGTATGGCGGGGAAGGGAAGGGAATAAAAGGCAAGGAAACTAACGAACAACGACGAAGAACAACGAATAACGAACGAACGAAACGAAAAACGATTAACTAAGAACGAACGAATAACGAACGAACGAACGAACGAACGAACGAACGAACGAAACGAACGAACGAACGAACGAACGAACGAACGAACGAACGAACGAACGAACGAACGAACGAACGAACGAACGAACGAACGAACGAACGAACGAAACGAACGAAAACGAACGAACAACGAACGAACGAACGAAACGAACGAACGAACGAAGAACGAACGAACGAAACGAAACGAACGAACAACGAACGAACGAACGAACGAACGAACGAACGAACGAACGAAACGAACGAACGAACGAACGAACGAACGAACGAACGAACGAACGAACGAACGAACGAAAACGAACGAACGAACGAACGAACGAACGAAAGAACGAACGAAAACGAACGAACGAAACGAACGAACGAACGAAACGAACGAACGAACGAAAACGAACGAACGAACGAACTAACGAACGAACGAACGAACGAACGAACGAACGAACGAAACGAACGAACGAAGAACGAACGAACGAACGAACGAACTAACGAACAACGAAAACGAAACTAACTAACAAACTAACGAACGAAGAACAAACTAACGAACTAACTACAACTAACGAACTAAAACTAACTAACAACTAACTAACAACTAACTAACTAACTAACTAACTACGAACTAACTAACTAACTAACTAACTAAACTAACTAACTAACTAACTAACTAACTAACTAACTAACTAACTAACACTAACTAACTAACTAACTAACTAACTACTAACTACATTTAAAACTTAAAACCAACGACTCCTCCTCTGCAGGACTAATGACTTGGTCCACTTACATATCCCTCATTTACAACAAGACTGTCATAAATCAAAAAAATTAGTTTTGAGTAAAGCAGTATTGAATGTTTTATGAAATTTTACTTTTTTTAAATAATTTGAAAATTAAAACCTGATAATTCTAATCTGAACATAAACTTAATTTTTGTTTTTCAAATATGTATGTATATGTAAGTGAAAACTTTTTTTTAATTTAATTTTGACGTTTATAATACACCGAAAATAATAAACATTTTTAAAAATAGACAAAACTATATGAAAGGCTTTAATATGACATATATTTTCTAGTACTCAGTTCAAAAACCCGAATTTTGTTTTGTAGTACATAAATGAACGATATGTAAATTTTGTAATCAAACTACTGGCGAAAATATTTAAGGCAATTAAATAAAAAGTTTTATGTAACTACAATACTAAGCAGAGTACTAAGAAATGCCAATATTTCACTCAAATTAGCTATTGAATTCCTGAAATTTACATACATACATATAAAATTGTAAAATATTTGCTGAAGTAATTTTTTTATATTATGATAAAAAACTCTAAAATTTGTTTTTTTTAGTTCAGTCCATATTTGGACATTTACATATCGTCACCTGAAACGCAAACGGCCCTAACTAACCAAAAATTCAAAATCGATTTTATTGTTGATTATAAAGTATTGCATGAAAACAAACAAGTCCACACAAAAAATTGGACTCCTCCTCCAAAATTAGCGATTTTATTGACAAAAAACAAAAGGACCTATCTACAAAAACATTTAAATATTAAAGGTAAAAATCCAATTTATCCATTTTTAAATTTTAATAAAAACAATTTGTTTATTTACTACAAATAAATCGTGTTGATACAAACAAACTTTTCAATTTCAATAGTTTTTTGCTTCTCCTGTAAAATTTTAAAAATTTTAGATAAAGCCGTTTGCGTTTTAGGTGACAATATGTTTGTAATTTGTCATGACCCTCATAAAGCCCATTTATCATTTAAACTTATTTACGGGATTGTATTAAGATAAAATTTATCACTAAAAATTATTTTATATAAAAAAATATTTTATTAGGAAATCGGTTTCAATAGGCAATACTTAAATATATAATCAAAACTCACAAGTACCACTATTTTATTATTTTTTTTTTTTTTTCAAAACAATAGTTTAGTTTTTTTGTTTTAATAAAAATCGTCTAATGCAACGTTTACGATTTCGTATGACTGTTCAAAAACACAACAAAAATATAAAATAATCAAATACCAACAACAAGAACTTTCTAACCGGCAATGCATTCAAAATTTATACACAATCTTCAAAAACAACAACACCAAACAAAATATAGAAATAATCAAATTACACTAGACACGTTACCAAAAAAAAAAAACTTTTTATTTTAATACTTTTAATTTTAGTCTCATACACAAAATTAAACACTTTTTCTTTAAAAATATGTAATAACAAAATTTACCATTAAAGGGATAACAAGTGAATAAAATTCCTTTTTATTATTCTTTTGTTTTTAAATTGCAAAATAATACTTTTACTAACAACAATCTTGTTTCTGGTGATTTGGTGGCACAACAAATACGTTTTTTTTTTTTTTATTATTTTGATGTTAATAGATATATTTTTTGCCTTTTGGTTTATTTTTTTCCGTATCTGGTAGATTTTTAACTCTCTACAATACAACGTTTACGTTTACAATGAACTTGTTGTGCACTAAATATATTTATACCCACCAAACCAACCAGCCAACCTGCCTTACAAAATGTGCACATACATACATACATACATATATATGAACACTAAAAAGTACTATGTTTTTGCCCCTCTTTTTCTGATTATTGTATTTTTTGAGATTCGTGCTGTTTTTATTGCAGAGCACAAAAACAAATACATATGTACCATTTGTTGTCAATTTTATTTGTTAGTGTATTATAATCAGGGTTACCAGTTACTTCATGTTATGTTATTCCCAAATGAGAAAAAAATCAATATAGAAAATAAAGAAAATTTTTCAGATATACATTATATATATATATATATATTATATGCATATGTATACATACATATTTTATAATCCAACTTTTTGTTCTATTTAATACAATTTATTATGATTACTTTATACATATTGAACTACTAATTGTTGTTTGTTATTAGCATTTGCTCTTTTATTTTTTTAATCCCCAAACTATAATGACAAATCCCATTAAAATTTACAAAATCTGAAAACCTAAATTTAATTTCTTACTCTCTTAAGCTCTCAATTATTGCAATAATTTGGCATGAAGCAGGGTTGGGAAAATAAACAGTACTAATTGAATTAAAATGCATGGAAAATGTTAATTTTGAAATAGTACTAACATACATAGATATGTATAACAAAAATAGTACTTTTTTAGGTTTTAGAGAACAAAACTAATTATTAGTGTAGAAACTACACCAGACTATAGACTAAACTATATACTAGATCATAGACGTTACCATAGACTAGATTATATACTAGTTTATAGACTAGACCATAGACTATACTATACATTAAACTATTGACTACACCATTTACCATTATATTTTAGAAATTTCTAATGGTGTTTTCGAAATTTCTAATTATATTTCAGAAATGTCTAATTATACCCAGCAAAAATAAAACGAAGTACTTCCAAAATAATAACATTTATCACCACTTCAAAAGTAGCACTAAGTAAATTTTTCCACCTTTTGGGGAAGTGGAGTTTAATGACTTCCGAAGAAGTGAAAATAATTATATTTTTTCAATGCTGAAGAATGTGCTTATTTCCGCATATTATTTAAGTCAAATAAGTTGTATTCTAAATGCTACAATTTTACCTCCAAATAGCTTCAAAAAAAAGAACATAAAAATTACTTCTTGAGAATAAATTCGGAAGTAGTGAATCATCACTTCTGTAGGCCTTTTTCAGTACTTCCAGATAGTAAATTCTACTTATTTTTTCGCTTCTTTGGAAGTTCTTTTTTTGCTGTGTATTTCAGAAATTTCTAATTACATTTCAGAAATTTCTAATAATATTTTAGAAATCTCCAATTATATTTGAGAAATTTCCAATTACTTATGTATATTAAAGAAATTTCTAATGGTATTTCAGAATTTCCACTTATACTTCAGAAGATTTAAATTTAAAAATTTCTAAAAAAATAACTATAAATTTCTGAAATATAATTAGACATTTTTTTAATTTCAGAAAATTTTAATTATAATTCAGAAATTTCTACTTGAAGGGCTTATGTAACTAGGTATGCCACAAAATAAAAATATTAAGAAAACCGATTTTTAAGTTTTGAAAAATTTTACAATTATATGAAATTCATCTAAGTAGGACTTGACTTATATTTTTTTCTATATAAAATAATTATATTAAAATGTTATGAAAATATTTTTGGCCATGATATATGACAATGCAATAAGCACATAAAATCAGTTTTCGATATCGAGTTGCTTATTAAGTTATTGCAACAAGCCCTTCACTTGTATTACTGAAGGGCTTATACATATTTCATAAAATTCTATTTTAGACATTTCTTATTTAAATTCAGAAATTTCTGAAATATAATTAGAAGTTTTTGGAAAATAATTAGAATTTTCTTAAATTAATTTGGAAAAGTTCTGAAATACAATTGGAAATAGTGCAGACCATCGACAAATAAAATTGTGAATTTCCATTTGATATTTAGAAAAGTTCAATTAAAATTGAGAAATTGGAATTGAAATTGAGAAGATTAGAATTTTAAATTTTCAAATAATTTAATGTTTATTAATTTTATTTGGAATTTACTCAATTTAAATTTTAAACTATCAATTTCATTTAGAATTTTATTTTCTTTAATTTCATCATTTCATGATTTTGAATTTTCTCAATTTCAAATTGAAAATCACAGTTTCAACTAAAGTCTTTAGTCTACATATCGCACACCCAGTACAAAAGTGACTAAAGTCAAAATTTTATTTTTACGTTTTGTATTTTTTAAAGAGCCTTTACTTTACGTACGACAAGTCTAATGAAAAAGTAAAAACAAATTGCATCCGTATCACAAAAAAGGGAATAAAAGTCGTATGATTTATATTTTTTGTGCTTACACGATTGGTAATGAAACAATAACAAAGTAAGATGGAAACAGCTGTTTCACTTTTTTCATATGTGTTTACATAAAAATACATCCCTGATCTAATTCGACTTGCTTGTTTTTTGAATTATTTTAAAAAAATAAGAGAGCCATAAGACTGTCAAATTTTCCATTCGTATTTTCTCTCAATGTGTGATGGTTTCATCACAGGGTATACAGAGGCGTCTCGAGCAAAAAACTAATTCCCTCTCTTTCGCACAAAACCATTTCAATGATTTTTTTACCTGTATTTTATTACCTCTTCTCACAAAACAATTTCAAAATCAAAAAAAGCTGATTTTAGACTTTTTCACATGTCAAAAGTGACACCTCTGTATACTTTGTGGTTTCATTACATATTGCGTTTAGACGATCACATCCGTTCTCTTTTACACAAAATTTTGACAGATCATATTACTTGTGTGCTCGTGTGAAGGGGGCTTAAGCCTTAAATTAAACTATGCAAAAGATACTTGTTTATCACTATAAACATATCAGTATATTTTGAGTTGCGTCACTTTTGTATTGGCCGTGCGATATTTACTACAAATCTCACCACTGATATGTGTACTGATTTGTTGCAACAAGTTTGAAGTGAGTTTCAGACAGCAGTGATACGCAAGCCAGGCATGGAAAATTAAAATGTTTAAATGAAACCTGAACCTGAACCTTTTTGCATTTTTAAAGTGAAATCTATGTAACTTTACTTTTAAACAATTCTTTTTTATACCCTACATCATTTTAGTGGAGAAAATATTCGTCCTATACCCTATATCCACCTTAAAGTATACCAATCAGCTTAGAATTGTTTTCTGAGTCGATTAAGCTATGTCTGTCCGTCCGTCTGGCTGGCTGTCCATGTAAACCTTGTGCGCAAGGTACAGGTCGTAATTTTGAAGATAATTGGATATATATATGCCTATATATCTATAAAAAGCGATACAACTAAGTCTTATACAAGACTTAATGGCCTTGTAAGATTTCATAAGATCGGGCCTAGCTCCCATACAAAGTCCCCTTCAGAAAATATCTTGAATGTCCATAATTACCTTATAAACACAAATCGAGAAATATTTGGACTAGTTATTAACAAATAACTGGAGTATGGTCTGTAAAAATATAGAAAATTGGTAAATTAATCTAATTTTGTGCAAAATAATGACATACATATACATATTTAAAAAAAAAGTAAAAAGGTTTGGACCTTCAAAGTTCAAATTTGTAATGCCTATAAATAAGAAAGACATGTTTTATAGGACTAAGCCGAACGCTTTTCAAAAATATATAAAAATTTTGAAATCGAATACGAAACAGGAAATAAATAAATATTTTAGAAAATACGTCAAAATTCTTTAATTTGATAGATTTTAAATAAAATATATCTAGACCATTAAAGTTCAGATAACATTAAATATACCAACGAAGTTTTATTAAAATCGGACAATATTAATCCATAAACTGCGGAGGTCAAATATAAAATTTTGAAATATTTGAGAATTTTCATTAAAACATATGAAAATAAAAGGCTGAAAAATAAATAAAATTACAGAAATTTGTGTGAAAATGCATGTCAATTATATATTCATTATTATAATCTATTGATTTCCTACATGGCATCTCTCTCATAATGTAATTTTTAAAAAAATCGCATTTAAATAAGTATGATTCTCTGAATACGTTCGTCAAGAACAATAACCAACCATGAATGGACCTACAACTCTAAGATCAATTGATGAGACATCAAAACAACAATAAAAAAATAGTACAAGGCAAAATCTTATCAGTTTTATTTAAGAGTGTGTATTATTCTATTATTTTTTGCTTTTTGTATAGGAAAATCCATATAATACACACGACATAATATAAAAACTGGCATACCTAACAGAACACATAGAAGTTCATTGCTCATAGAATCTAAACAGGAATACAAATTTAAAATTCAAGTAGTATTTAAGACGTTCTTGTTTAAACCACAGTCCAAAAGAAAATATATTACAATGCAAATTTTAAATTTTTTCTTTGTCTTCTTAATATGTTCGAGTGCAATTTGTGTTAATAGTTCGCAAATTTTTACAAAATTATTTGGTCAAATTTTGGTACCACAACAGCAACGTTATTATAATGCTCATTCCTATCAGTATCCAGTGTCGTCGCCAACTTATCAACAATATCCACAAAATGCGAATGGTTATTATTATCAGCCACCACCACCCAGAAGACATCATACTAGACAACGTCAGAGTCCAGTAAGACAAGAGAAATCCTATAAGGATATCTGTCATATGGTTCATAATGATGGCTTTACAAATCCGGGAAATGTACCCAGATGTCCATATTAATGATTATAGATAGATAGATAGATTATAGATATAGATAGATTATATTTTTATAAAACATGGAATTAAATGTATTAAATAATTTAATTAAATGTATTTACATATATAGTTTATAGAATATTATTATAATAAAAACTAATTTAATGCACGTCTGAGTGCTTATCTTAAAGTTAATTATTACCAAGACGAATATTTATTAAAAATTAGATTTTATTAATTTTGAATGTTTAAATAATATAGAAATAATGGATCGACCAGAATAAAGTAGAGCAAAATTTTTTACCAATTCTTTTTATTCCCGAACGAAAAAAAAAACATTTAACAAAAGTTGTTAAAATAGCGTCCTATTAAAATATAAAATTTTAAATATATCGGTCAACATTTTTTCAGAAATCATGTTTCAAATAACATATCGAGAGACTTTGTATTCAGTATATTTCCGTTTTTTGTATGAAATTCAAATAAAAATTTACTACATTTAGATAATTTAAAATATTTATTTATATTAATTTAAAGACTATTATTTTATAATAAGCATTAGATTATAGTAATAATTATATATTTGTTTTAAATTTAATTTTAACTTTTTACTACACATTCAAAATGCATACACTAAAACACTTTACAATTTATTTTCATTTTAAAAAGTTATTCCCTAAACAAAACACATCTGGAAATAAAGGTAACATTTCCGCTAAGAGCGAGGAAAAGAAACCCTGAGAGGCCAGCCTTCTAAGAAAATAATAATAAACGTTCCTGTTCTTCTTGTTATAAGCCATATCCAACCTATTGTTAGTGAAATCGATAACACTCAGTCTAGAACAGTCGTTTTTGTACAATATAAAAAACACAGGCCAAAAAGAAAGCAAATGCAAAGAATAATAACATTTTGTCGGTGCACTCACGTCGTCCATATTTTTTAAGCAATTTTCCAGATTGTGAAATTGTGCCAGCTGTGTTCTGCAGTTCATCACGAGTGGCTTCTACATTCTGTGAAGAAGCTACGAGCGTTTCTAAAGTGATGGCACTTTTTTGTGTGGTCTCGGAGAGGTGTCGCGAAATGGCCAACATTTTTTCAGTAACATTATTTTCCTGTGACACCAGACTGCCGCGATTATGACGTGTGGCCGTGCCACCACCACTTCTTGCCCCGCTACCATCTGTGGCATTGTGTCTCTGCCTTAAATCGGTTTCTCCGGTAATAGCCATTAATTCTTCACGATTAGCCTTCTCTATTTCCAGCATAGTAGCTACATTAGCCTTACGAAAAGCTTGTAATACTTTCGAAAATTGTTCCCTTTGTGTATCAACTTCTTTCGATAGGGCCGGATCACCGGTATCTCTAGCCCAATCATTTAAACGATCGATATTTTTCCTTAAAGCTGCCAGTTTAGCTCTACCCGCTTCGTTTAATGCTTCCAATTCATGTATAGAGCCACGATAAGATACTATATCCTTAAAATCGTTTAAAAATCATGATTAATCATTCGTAAACATGAATCAGTTTAGTTCTAGAGTTCAACTTACTTGTATTATGGCTTTAGCCTGTAGATTATTATCTATTAACTCTTGTCTTATAGACTGTAAAGTATATTTTTCAATGTCCATGTCGGAATACGTTAATTTTATAAAGATTTTGTCAAAATTTATTACTATTTTTTCTTTTCAAAAAAACTAAATCTTTGGCAAAATCAACAAAATAAAACAATAACAACACATCGACACGACATCTAAAGTGACAGTTGGTCTGTTGAGAAAACAGGGTTGTTATCAATCCAAATAAACATTAATCGTTTGTGGGGTGTGTAGAAAAGAAATTCATACTACAATAGGGCTTTATAGAACGACTTTTGAACAACTGTTGTTTTCAAAAAGTTGATTTATTGACTTAATAAAGTTGATAAAATGATAATTTTGCAAGAATAATAATAATAAAATCTTTAAATGAAAGTCAAATTATCGACTTTATAAGTTTATCATTCCAACCCTATAAAGAATATACATATATCGACGCCGCTATGCAAAATTTTTTTTGGTAACCATAGCCCATATAAAGGTCACTTAATGTTACTTTTTGCGATAATTTTCCTTCATATACATATGTATATACATAATATTTGTGGTCAGTGGTTGTGGTCACAATTGTAATCGAACAGTAATGCCGTACACACAAAATTGGGCAACTCTTTATGATAAACAAAACAGCTGGCATGTGGCCACACAAAATAAACTGTCAAAATTGAAATCGGCGTTTTTTATTGTTTACAGATTTGGTATAATATTTAAGGAAATTTAAATTAATTTTAATAATTTTTTTCTAAAATGGGTCGTACTAATGCTACAGTAGATGAATTAAAAAGTTATTTTAAAACACACAGTAAAATACGAGAACAAAAAGCACATACATCAAAGGTAAAGAAAGATTTTGCAAACACAATAGGGATTTCTAAAGAAAACATTTGTTGATAGGTTCATTCTGTTGGCTGGAGCTGTGATGGAAGACGTTTGGCATCGGGTTCTTTCGACAAAACTGTAGCCGTATATACTTTAGAACGTGATAGAGTGGTGGGTATTTATATTGATAACGTTATGAAGGAAAATCTAACATTTTAATTTCTTTAAAGAGTAAAGAAAATACATATCGTGGTCACACCGGTTCGGTGGATCAGCTTTGCTGGCATGCTACCAATGCGGATCTCTTAAGTACAGCTAGTGGTGATAAAACTGTGCGTATATGGGATATTAGAAGTGGTAAATGTTCCTCGGTAACCAATACAAAAGGTGAGAATATCAATATAACCTGGTCACCAGATGGTAAAACTATAGCTGTGGGCAATAAAGAAGATTTGGTAACATTTATTGATACCAGAACAAATAAAATAAGAGCTGAGGAACAATTTAATTTTGAGGTAACTATAATAAATAAAAATGACATAAAACGTTTTTAAAAACCAGTTACTCCGGCAGGTTAATGAAATTGCTTGGAACAATAGCAGTGACTTGTTCTTTCTTACCAACGGCATGGGTTGCGTTCATATACTTAGCTATCCTTCATTAGAACTTCAACATGTCCTAAAGGCTCATCCCGCTACTTGTATTTGCATAGAATTTGATCCTACTGGCAAATACTTTGCTACTGGTTCTGCTGATGCTTTGGTTTCGTTATGGGATGCCAATGAATTGGCTTGTTTACGTGTTCTATCACGTTTAGATTGGCCCGTACGTACTATATCCTTTAGTCATGATGGTAAACTGTTGGCTTCTGCCTCCGAAGATCTAATGATTGACATTGCTCATACGGAGACGGGTGAAAAAGTGGCTGATGTTTCTGTAGATGCTGCTACTTTTACTGTGGCTTGGCATCCAAAACAGTATTTACTAGCGTATGCTTGTGACGATAAGGATAGTAACGATCGAAGACGTGAGGCGGGTAATCTTAAGGTTTTTGGTTTTCAAGAATAATTTATGTGCTATGTATTGTAGATGTAGTAAATAAAATGTTTTCAAGAAAAAACTATTTTTAAACGTTTTTACTTAAATTATAATTCTAGGAAAATTTGTATTAATTTTAGAAATGATTATTATCAACATACATTGCTTAAAATATGCAATATCGATGTTTTGTATTTTTACAAAACAAATATCAAGATTCTACTTACAGCCTCAATCATTTCTTTTTAATTAATTTGGATTTTCACCTAAAATATTAAAAGTTTAATAAATTACCAACAAATGTATAACAATTAAAGAAAATTTTCAAAACTTTTACTAATAAAGCAAAAAGTCCTCAGGTGCAAATAAATAAAAATCAATATTGATCCATAAGTTTTGAGTAAAGTTTATAAAAATTACATGTTTTACTTTATGTACATACACACATACATATGTACAGTTTCTCTCGTAAATATTAGAATTTAATGTATTATGAAAACAGACTAATTTTATAATTTTTTTTTTTTTATAATAGATTTTGTGGAAAAAATAAATAAATAAATTTATTATGTAGTCCAGACAGTCCTTAAATTTTATATAACATTTTAAAAAATGTAAAAAAAATTATTTACTTAAACTAATTTAGCTTTTTTTTTAAAAAAGTGCAAAAAATTGCTTTACAAAAGTATTCGAATTTTTTGTATAGATTAGCATTAGGAAGTAAAAATAAATGATTAAAATGAAATTAATATTTCGAATAGTAGCCGTTGTTTTTAAAAACAACTTCCAAGCGTCGTAGGACCGTTTCTAAAAACTTATGGGATAGTTCTGGCGTTATTATGTCCCATTCTTCATGCAAAGCAACCGTATGGTGGTTTTGGAGGATAATGAGTGATTTAAAAGTTGTTCTTGTAAATATAACCACAAATTTTCAATGGAGTTTAAGTCCAGACATTAACTCCATTGAAAATTTGGTGAAAGAAGATACTTAGTGTTGTAAATGATCAACATTTTCACGTACCAGGTCGTGTATTTTGGAACGTTTTTCTGTTGAAAAATAAATTGAATGGGTTGTAGCCCCATTTTGGTGGTACTAGCATGCAAATTCTGCTCTAAAATTGACAAGTGGACCTTCTAGTCTATAATTACAGTAATAAATTTTAGCAGTCCAACACCGAGGATGGACGCAGAACCCTAAAATATGACAGAGCAACTTGGGTCCTTTACAGTTATTTTTAAGTTAGATAATTCCAAGGCATCTCCAAGCTTTCGCCATATCATTTGACGACCATCTGAGCCAAAAACCTCCTTCCAGAATCCAATATTCTAACTTATGAGTCTATTTGCGGAGTCAAGACACTTAACATCGATTAACTTCGATATGAGCAGTTTCCACCTTGGTACTTGACCATGCAAATTATTACTCCCTAGTACTTTGCGCACAATTTCGACACTCATTTTTATTCACAGGACTGTCCTGAGTTCGTTGTTAATTTTTGGAGCTGATAAATGGAGGTTCCTTCGGTATATCCTCAGTATTTCTCTGTAGTCCTGTATTGACAGCAGTTTTGGACGACTTGATAATGGTAAATACTCGATAGAATTCTTTGTTCCATACGTGTAATGACAAAATATATTGTCGATGGAAATCTATCAAACATTTCCTATATGTATTTAATTGATCGGCCTTGATTATACAGATATAAATTAATTTTTTAATTTGAATTGATCAACTGTTTTTCTTTGAACATTTTAAGCGCTTACACAGGAAGAATTTACAACATAATTATGCAATTCTACAAAAAATATAATGTTATATGTATATTCCATATAACCACTACCTGCATAATGGGTTAATTAATGGGCAATAAAACACGTGTTCAAGGATTCTAAACAAGTTCTTAGAAAAAATTCGAATATTTTAGCGCAGTACCTGAAATGTCCCTTTTTTTATACTTTTTTCTTGTATTTCGTAAAAATAATAAAAATTAATAAAATTTCATTAAAAAACTTTAAATATTATTATTATTTTTAAAGTAGCATCATTAAAATAACACAGTAATTCATAAAAAATAACAAATTCGAATATTTATGTGAGACACTGTATGTACGTTTGTATATTTATAAATATTACCTAAACGTTATAGAATTCATATTAAAAAATACTGCATTTTGTTTTATATACGAACAATTGAACATATACATGTATATGCATTAGGGTGATCGACTCGATTTTTCAACCGGTTTTAAAACCGGTTTTTTTCTGCTTTACCAGTGTCGGTTTTTTCTTAATGTTGATTTTTCGAATATCGAATAACACGGTTTTTTCACTTTTTAAAAACCGGTTTCGAATACTTTTATTTGCTTTGTATTCAAAGATTATTTAAATGAAATTTTTAAGTAAATAATAATACAGCCCGCCTAAATTTTAAAAATATTCGAGTCGAGGAGTTAGCGTATATTTTTCTAAAGCTCCTTTGGTTAAACTTTTTTGATTTTCCTAATTAATTAAAAAAAATTTATTTGTAAAATTGATAACTATTTGATAAAATTTTATCAATCTTAAGATTATATTCCAATTACAATAATTAATTTACGGCTGAAATTTTATGGAAGTGTTGGAATGCCTACGCAAATTTCCTAAACAGGGCTTTTAAAATAAGCTAGGATTACATAGTACCTTATGTTTAACAGAAGTGTCCCACTTTTTTCCTAATTTTTTTATATTAATGAAATAATGTAAATCAGACGACTAGATCTAAAGTTATACTCTTTTAAACTGTTAAAAATCATTTCGGGCCATGTTTTATTAATCAAATTTAAACATAAACATTAAGTTTTTCAAATTAAAATATGTTTTTTTATTTATAATGAAAAACCGGTTAACCGGTTTTTTCTGAATTTGAAAAATATCAACCGGTTTTTTTTAAATGTCAACTATTCGAACTATTCGAAAACCGGTTTTTGGAAAATGTCGAATAATCGATCACCCTAATATGCATGTATGTACATACATACCCTGCCAGCAACTCAACTAACTTTAAATGCATTAAAAGCTGACTTTTTCATCAACTAGTTATGGTTGATTCTTGGATTATTTTTAATGGAGCCAACTGACTATTTTAACATGGCGATGTCCTACGCAGTAGTCAATTGTCCGACTCTGCATGACTTTTCAACTAGCTTAAAGTTAGTTACTAAAAAATTAGCTTAAAGGTAACTCTTTATTAACTAACTTAAAGTTAGTTGCAGAAAAGTCAAGTAATAGTTTTCTTTTGTATTCCCTACTGTATTAATTAATTAAATTTTAATTAAATATATTTA